CTCCCGGTGGTGACACTATGTTGCTCTGGGACTCCTCCTACGACACCGACACCAGAAGATCTATCCTCCTTGGTACTGCAGACAACATCAACATCATCTATCAGTCAGATCACCTCGTCGTGGATGGAACCTTTAAGACCTCTCCAGACCGAACTGGACTCCTACGGACCCTTCTACCCTCAGTCGGTGCTGGTGGACTATGAAATCGCTATCAGAAACGCAGTCTCCAACGTCATGCAGATTGGAGCTCTCCCCTTCGTTCCAGTCAGTGATGTGGACCAGGCGTGGCGGCTTCTCAAACCTTCTCTTCCTGCTGAGATGACTGCCTTCGCAAGATACTTTGAGTCGACATGGATCGGAACCACCTCCACCCCTCCTCTCTTCAGGCACGACTCCTGGAATCACCACGAAGCGGCCCAGATCTTACTACCTCGCTCCAGCAACATCGCAGAGGGTTGGAACAGCGGCTTCGCCTCCTTGGTCTGGAAGTTCTTAGAGTGCATCAAGAGGGAGCAGGCTTTGACAGACGTGAAGATCACCAACATCCTCACCAGAAAACCCTTCAAGAGAGCAGCAAAGTGGGAGAAGTTTGACCTGGAGATGCAACGTATGGTTGATGATTATGATAACTTTGGGGATGTTACCGAGTTTCTGAAAGCTGTTGGATCTAAGATTTTGGGTTAATGCTTTAATGTTTACTTATTATTGTGTGATTTAAATTACTGTATCAGTATATTATCTATTATTCTTTGACCAAATTTCTGCAATTATCACGAAAAATGTAATAATAATTAACAAAAAATAAAATAATTAACTAATGAAATACGAATAATTATGCCTTTATTGCAAAGTTCAGTAGGGATCACATCAAAGTGGTTAGGTCTAGATATTAGCGGTAGTGATTCAGTCCGGTAGTGATTCAGTCCTGAAATATACCTCAATCCCTACCAATAGTGATTGGTAGTGATTCAGTCCGTTAGGGATTCAGTCATGTAGTGATTCGGTCCGTTCACCAAATATTTCAATACTTTCTGCGTGACAATTTTAGAAAAAACGTTCAATCGCATTTCGCGGTCATTAAATTTGGCTGTTGGATTGAATTTGTAGTTGGCGTCTATAGATTACAACTTTGGCCGACTGCCATTATCAATGGCTCAGCTCCTGGTTTGTGGTTTAATTTAATTGAATGTTGTGCAAATAATAAGTTACAAACGGAAACACAATTAATAACTTTAAAATGCGATCTACACAATACAGTAGTAACATTTAATTGATCAAAATTTCGAATATTTCCTATCGACAAATTCTTTATGGATCGTCAAGTTCTAACAAAGTCCATCAGTCTCTGTCTCCCAGACCACTGTAAGGTTGTCAGTGTAGAGAACAACGTTTCCGTCATCCTGTATTTGCAACATGGTACCTTCGGTGTTAGGAGTTCTGGAGCTCCAGAGTGCTTCACCTTCTGTGCTGTATATGACGAGGTTGCTATCATGTTGGAATGCAAGACCTTTTACTGAGCCGTTAGTTCCAGAGGACCAAAGCGAGTTTCCATTGCAGTCAAGTACCAAGTCTCCTTCTTGCTGCATCCTAAATGTGTAATTTCCATTGGGAGACGTCAGTGAAGAGCCAAGTTCCAGTGCGATGAAGGATGTGTCACCTACGTAGCAAACGCTTTCGATACAGCATCGTTCTGCAATATTACAAGCTTGAGATTCAGTTTCCTCCCCCTCACAGTCAGCTCCATTATCAGCTGGGGCGGGGTTTGTACAGGATCTAGTTCTTGTCTGTGTTCCATTTCCACAAGATACTGAGCAGTCAGACCAGTCTCCAAAGTCACTCCATCCACCATCAATTGGGTCACATCTGCCGACAGTCTCTGTCTCCCAAACCACTGTAAGGTTGTCAGTGTAGAGAACAACGTTTCCGTCATCCTGTACTTGCAAAATGGTACCTTCTGTGTTAGCAGTTCTGGAGCTCCAGAGTGCTTCACCTTCTGTGCTGTATATGACGAGGTTGCTATCATGTTGGAATGCAAGACCGTTTACTGAGCCGCTAGTTCCAGAGGACCAAAGCGAGTTTTCATTGCAGTCAAGTACCAAGTCTCCTTCTCGCTGCATCCTTAATGTATAATTTCCATTGGGAGACGTCATTGAAGAGCCAAATTCCAGTGCGATGAAGGATGTGTCACCTACGTAGCAAACGCTTTCGATACAGCATCGTTCTGCAATATTACAAGCTTGAGATTCAAATTCTCCCCCTCACAGTCAGCTCCATTATCAGCTGGGGCGGGGTTTGTACAGGATCTAGTTCTTGTCTGTGTTCCATTTCCACAAGATACTGAGCAGTCAGACCAGTCTCCAAAGTCACTCCATCCACCATCAATTGGGTCACATCTGCCGACAGTCTCTGTCTCCCAAACCACTGTAAGGTTGTCAGTGTAGAGAACAACGTTTCCGTCATCCTGTACTTGCAAAATGGTACCTTCTGTGTTAGCAGTTCTGGAGCTCCAGAGTGCTTCACCTTCTGTGCTGTATATGACGAGGTTGCTATCATGTTGGAATGCAAGACCGTTTACTGAGCCGCTAGTTCCAGAGGACCAAAGCGAGTTTTCATTGCAGTCAAGTACCAAGTCTCCTTCTCGCTGCATCCTTAATGTATAATTTCCATTGGGAGACGTCATTGAAGAGCCAAATTCCAGTGCGATGAAGGATGTGTCACCTACGTAGCAAACGCTTTCGATACAGCATCGTTCTGCAATATTACAAGCTTGAGATTCAAAATTCTCCCCCTCACAGTCAGCTCCATTATCAGCTGGGGCGGGGTTTGTACAGGATCTAGTTCTTGTCTGTGTTCCATTTCCACAAGATACTGAGCAGTCAGACCAGTCTCCAAAGTCACTCCATCCACCATCAATTGGGTCACATCTTCCAACAGTCTCTGTCTCCCAAACCACTGTAAGGTTGTCAGTGTAGAGAACAACGTTTCCGTCATCCTGTACTTGCAACATGGTACCTTCGGTGTTAGGAGTTCTGGAGCTCCAGAGTGCTTCACCTTCTGTGCTGTATATGACGAGGTTGCTATCATGTTGGAATGAAAGACCTTTTACTGAGCCGTTAGTTCCAGAGGACCAAAGCGAGTTTCCATTGCAGTCAAGTACCAAGTCTCCTTCTTGCTGCATGCTAAATGTATAATTTCCATTGGGAGACGTCAGTGACGAGCCAAGTTCCAGTGCGATGAAGGATGTGTCACCTACGTAGCAAACGCTTTCGATACAGCATCGTTCTCCAATATTACAAGCTGATGTTGCAAGAACAAACAGTAAGGCTAAAAGAGTAGATGAGAAAAACTTTATCATTGTAACAAAATCCTCAAGCTCAGATCAAAATAATGAGAATTGAAATGTTGTTGCCGGTCTTAAACATCCAACATGGGGGCATGTCGGTGTAGATCTTTCGAGGTTGGAATTTGGGAGTGGTCCAGCTGAAGACTTATACCAGCTGGTGAATTGAAAAACAATAGCGGTTATAGTGAGAGACTGCCAGACATCTTTTCATGTTGAAGATTAAACTAACATAAACAAAAGGTGGAAGAACGTACGGCTGTGTTTACCGAAAAGGGAGAAGGAGGAGTCCAGCAGAACACTTATACCAGTTAGTGATTGGAAAACAATTAATATTAGAGTGTGAGACATGTCTTCATGTTGAAATAACAATAAAGGTGGAAAGATGTACGGTTTTGCTAACTCATGGGGAGATGGATGGAAAAATAACAATTGGAGTGTGGGAAATGTGCAATGGGCATTGAAGAGTTCTGTTAAGTTCTATATCAAATGGTCCTTCACTAAGCTACAATTGGGTGGGGCCATCAGACATATTTTTGGTGGAAACCTTCCAAAAAAGGTCAGCTCAATGGAACCAATCCACAGACAGTATTAAAGAGATTACTAAACACGATAAACATTATACGTTTGTACCACCCATTAATATTATATATTACATATTGATATAAACCGGGGATAATGAGGTCTGACTGTCTGATCGTCTTCTTATAGCGTTCGATGTCTGTGTGAAGGTAAAACGGTGACATCCTCTGGATCGGGTGACCAACAAATGAACCCTAGTTCCCACGCAGTTAACAGGTGACCAATCAGCTTAATTGGGTGACCAATCAGCTTAAATCCCAAAACGACAACTGAACCCAGGTCATATCACAACTGCACCGAAATCGGAAATACGACAACTGAACCCAACGATAAGGGGCCATATAAGGAATTCAATTCCTTGTTAGTTTCAGGGTTTTGACAACATTTGCTTGAGTTACTGGGTTAGTATTGGTTCAGGGTTAAAGGTAGAGGATAAGGCCGGGCTTTTGTATGTCCGCAAATTCCACGGAATTTTAAAATTTAAATCCAGATAGACCGTATGGATAACGCCAGCGGCGGAGAGACGACAACATCACCCTCCGTAATGTTTACCTCAGCTACAGGACGATCCCTGTTTGCTACACTCCTCATCAGCTTCGCCACCTTTAACATACGTGGCCTCGGTTCTTGTGATGATCCAGACGACATCCACAGCAAACGGGAGCAACTGGGTACCGATTGTCTACGGTACGGCATAGATATCTGCGCTATTCAGGAGACTAAGGTTGTAAAACCGGATTCTTGCAGTCTTAGCAACGGATACAAACTATTATTGTTTGAGCAGAAAAATGGCCGGCACTATGGACTCGGTTTTGTTATCAGTCCCCGATTTATTGACTATGTGGTATGCTGGAACAGTATCAGTGATCGAGTAAGCTTTTTGGACCTAGAACTCCCTACAAAATCTGGAAAATTTATCAAATGTAGGGTGGTCAATGTATATGGGCCACACAAGAAACTTGCAGAAAATGATCAACAACTGTTGATTAATTTTTACGGCCAAGTTAGGGACGCTCTAAACGTCCCTGCTAATGTTGAGATATTTGTTTTGGGAGATTTTAATTCAAAGTTGGGAAAAATGACTGTTTCAGATAAAGACTTTGGTTTTGGTCGTTTCATGGGTAAACATGGTATGGGTTTGCGCAACGATATGGGAGAAAACTTGTTGGACTTGTTATCAGAATTTGACCTCTTTGCCTCCAACACTGGTTTTTATCATCCTGCCCGACATACGACCACCTACACTGGCTGGAGGAAGGACTGGAGTGCCGGGCGAAATAGTAAAAAGACGATCCCGGTCTATTCTCAGATCGATTTCATCCTGTGTCGAAGTAGGTCGAAGCCAATGCTACAAGATTCTAGATCTTATGCAGGCACCTTGACATACTCTGATCACAGATTTGTTGTCACTAGAGTAGATTTTAAGGACATCTGTCTTTGCTATAAACGCCACTCCAAGTCATCCTTAAAGTTCAACACCTCTGAACTCACCTCGAACCCCACCATTCAGGTGAAATATCGTCAATCCTTAGATGATAACTTAAGTAACACTGTTTCTGCTCTGGATCCAAATTCAGACTTGAATGGCTTACTTGAGTCCATAAAGGATGCTGCAAAATCGTCAATAGGTGTCATCAGACACAGGAAACGTAATTGCAGCGACGATGATGAGGTGAAAAACTTATCTAGCCAGCGTTACTTATTGAGACAGCAGCTTAATGATAACCAGTCTTTAGACAGAACCTCACTTAGATCATCTATTAACTGCCTCACCAATCAGATCAAGCAGAGACTTTCTAACATACGATCAGCTGCTGCTGATGCTATCTGTAATACCATCAGATCAACAACAGATAGTAAGAAAATGTTTGAAGCTGTTCGAACCCTGAACTTACCTAAAAGTAAAGCCCCTTCTAGTATTGGTGTTCATGATGAGCAAGGGTGCAATATTGCAACAGACACTGGTAAAGCTGCCGTAGTTGCTAAGTACCTTGAGCAACAACTTACTCGTGATGAAGCACCTTTAGAACCTTTTGTAGGACCTCCTCGCCCACTAGTTAAGCCATTCACTAGTGAAGAAATCGGATCAGCTGCTAGAAGTCTCAAAAATGGTCGAGCTAACGGCCCAGATGGGATTCCTAATGAGCTTCTCAAGTATTCTACTGGATCAGTACACAGACGTTTTGCAGACATTATCAATAGAAGCTTCGAGACCAATTCCTACCTTGACCCCATTGGACAGGCAAATATTACCCCCTTACAGAAGCCAAATAAGCCCATTGGTCCAGTGAAGAATCTACGACCCCTCACTCTCTCAAATGCTGTTAGAAAGATTCTTTCAATGGCAACCTTGAAGAGAATTGAGAATAAAGTCAATGCCTTCACTGGTCCATGGCAATGTGCTTACAAGCAGGGTAGATCATGTGCTGACATTGTATGGTGCCAGCGTGTGATGTTATCAGTTGTCCAGAGGAAGAGGTGGGAATACCATCGCATGGGGATCGACATGTCTAGTGCCTTTGACACTATACGACGATCTACCATCCTCGATCTTCTTGTTGAGTGTGGCTGTGATGATGACGAAGTCCGTTTGGTAAGACTTTTGCTTTCCAACACCAAGCTCAAAGTCAACATCTACGGTACACTGTCTGCTGAATTCCAGAGTTTTCTCGGTGCATTCCAAGGTGACTGTCTGTCTGGATGCTTGTTCACACTTGTCTTAGCGGGTGCCTTGCGTGACCTCCGTAACAGGCTTGAAACTGCAACGAATAGGCCTAACCCACCTATCACCGATATTGGTCTTCCACTTGACAGTGAGTATGCTGATGATATCGACTTCAATGATGAAGATGAAGACAATCTGAGGGAGCTGTTGCCTATTGCAACAGAAGTCCTTAAAGATTGGAATCTCTTCGTTAACGATGACAAAACTGATTTCACTCATGTGTACTTAGCTGAAAAGGGAGCTAAAGACGATCAGGGTAAGCCAATTGCAGGGAACGAGCTCTGGAGAAAGAGTATCACGCTTGGCTCCATGCTTTGTAGTAAGGAGGACATCTCTAGAAGGATATGTCTGGGATATGCCGCGTTTAACAAATACAAGAAAGCTTGGAACCAAAAGATCCCTCTGAGCAAGAGGCTTCTGTTGTATGAGGCTCTGGTAGTATCCGTTTTAATGTATAATTCATCTTGCTGGGCTGCCCCTAAATCAGTATTGGAAAAACTAGATATTGCTCACAGACGTCATCTGCGATCAAATTTGAATTACAAATACCCTCACATCATCTCCAACAAGAACTTGTATAAACGCTGCAATAGCGAACCATTGTCAGCTAAAGTGGCTCGTAGTCGGTGGAGGATGCTCGGACATGGCTGGGCCATCTGTAGGCTGGGCCTACAGATGGCCCAGCCTATTCGTCGCTTGTTTTTGCTGTCAACACCTTACAGCTTCAAGGGCGGCGTGGAAGACCGCAGTCAAACCTTTTCTCACTGATTCTACACGACCTTAGTGTCCGAAAATTATCGTTAAATAATTTATGTGATTTAAACTATTTAACGTTAATTGCTCAGAATAGAGTTAAATGGAGAAGTATGCAAATTGCATGAATTTTGTTTGAGAAAGATTAGGGGACAGAAATGTTTACTTTGTTTACTATCTGTTTCTTAGAGCTTTTTGTTTATAAATCCAGATAACAGATAACAAACTTGTTAAATTTAGTCATGTGACAACTAGAGTAGAGTGATTTATCATTCATTTTTTCGGACCTTTACTGATAGTTGAAATTCGACATATGACGTCATCTAGCGTCATCTAGCGTGAAATATCGCCAGATGATGATAGATGACGCTAGATGACGCTAGATGACGCTAGATGACGCCAATTAGCGACATTGTCGCTAAGTGCACGGCACCTTTCGAATGTCGCTATCTAGCGCTATCTAGCGCTATCTAGCTAGATGACGCTAGATGACGCTAAGCACGCAGCACTGACGCCAGGCGACAGATAGCGCTATTTTCATAAAAATTCTAGGGACGACATCTAGCGTCATCTAGCGTCATATGTTGCCGCGACATCTGACGCTATCTGACGCCATCTAGCGATATCTGACGTCATCTGACGACATCTGTCGCGACGACATCTGACGCAGGCGACATCAAGCGCTGGATAGCGGGATAAGTCAGTTTACGACAGTTCACGCTATCTAGCGCTATATAGCGCCAGATAGCGCTATATAGCGTCAGATGTCGTTGCGACATATAGCGCTAGATAGCGTTAGATAGCGCTAAATAGCGTTAGATAGCGCTAAATAGCGAAGAATTTTGGGTCGTGACAGTCCAGGCTATTTAGCGCTAGATGTCGCTATCTAGCGCTATATGTCGCTGCGTCAGATGTCGTCGCTACATATAGCACAAGATATCATATCCTATCACAGTAACAGTAATCCTAACTCTGTGTGTGTGTGTGTGTGTGTGTGTGTGTGTGTGTGTGTGTGTGTGTGTGTGTGTGTGTGTGTGTGTGTGTGTGTGTGTGTGTGTGTGTGTGTGTGTGTGTGTGTGTGTGTGTGTGTGTGTGTGTGTGTGTGTGTGTGTGTGTTTTACTGGGACCGTAAGCGCAGCCTGTCTTTTCCCACCCAATCTTTTTTGTTATTTTTATTTTATATGAAAATTAATTTTTACTGTGTATGAAAATTAATTATAATTTAAGTGAGAATGCAAATGATATAACTATAAGCTTGCGCGGCTCGTCGAAGTCACCCAACTATTACACTCGATTTATCAAATATTCGGCTGAGTGGAACAAAATATTAAATATCACTTAATCAAGGGGTCGTTTACATATTATCACCTTAATAACACCAGAATGTGTGTGTGTGTGTGTGTGTCTGTCTGTCTGTCTGTCCGTGTGTAATTTCCGGTCGGTTATACAAAAAAAAACGGTAAGAGTTACGGGACTGATTTTTTCGGTATAGTGTCGACAAAACTCTGATGAAGCCCATAGGAAATTTTTAAAAAAATCGGCCGGTGGTTAGTGGTTTTATTGATGGTTTTGTACCACAAATGTTACATAAAGTTGCTTGAGCAGAACGGCAAGAGTTACGGGGCCTGCTCTCTCTTTCTCTCGCTCTCTCTCATTACTGTGTAATATGTTATCTGCTGCATTTAAGTAGCGTCATAATTGGATTAGCCCGGAAGATTTGCTGTAATGTTATACCTTAAGCTTATTAGGGGAGGGAGTACTGTTAGTGTTTGGGGTCTGTTTGGACTGCAGAGAGAGAGAGAGAGAGAGTTCATACGACAATGTTATGCGTGTTTTCAAATATAATATGCGGGTGTGGTGCGGAGTTAACAAGGGTTAATTTCTATAACGATTTAAATAAAAATAGAAAGCGGTTCAGGACGGGAGTGATGAGGTGTAATACTCGGTGTTCAGACCTTATGATCATGGAATGTGGTGCCTAATAATGATTAAATTATCCACAAGAAATAGCTGATTATGAGATTATTGTTTAAGAAACTATTGGGTCACCTAATGCGGGTTTTGACTCAGCGGGTAATTACTCCTACCCTTTTTAACTGCGGCAGTGAAATCCCGGCCGTAGGCCGGGTTACACTAGTAATTATATAAAGGGCCTGATGCCGCCGGCCGGGGTTTTCCAAATTATTACGCTCGCTAGTGTGATTGTGACATAATACTAATAGCTTAATAGCTATGTATGGAACTGATTACTAACAATGAGGGGTCGTTCACATACCCCGTAATCAGTTTTACCATAGCTATTATATTTATGTCAATATTACACTAGCGTAATCAATAATAATTTGAAAACCCCAACCTCCTCAGCTGATTACGTAATACTAATATGTAAACGACCGTCGACCCTTAACATTTCGGGATCGGAAGAAAGCGGCACGTACTATTTTTGTAGCGCGATGCACTACTAGTACTGGGTCGCGCGCGCATCAAATATGCTTCTCGCAACCACGTATGCAGATCGGCGAGATGCGAAGGATTGACATCGTGAATCAAGTACTATTTCGACGAAATTTATACAAGTTACTAACATCGTTGATTCATGATGCAAATCTTTCACAGCTCAGTGGTGCATTTCGCCGAAAAGCATCATTGGATACCGAGAAGCATTTTTGGATGCGCGGCGCGACACACTCACAGTAACGCATCGCGTTGATTCACGATGTTAATCCTTCACTGTTCATGTTCACAGCTCGGCGAGGCCCAGTCATGGTGCATATCGCCAATTTAATAACATAGTTAGTCAGTTCGTACAAAAGTCGTAAAAAATTCGTACAGTTCGGCACGTTTTTTTAGTTCGGGATTAGTTTGGGAAAAATTCGCCTCATAAATTTTCGAAATATATAATAAAAAGCTAATTGCAAAAATGTGTGTTAAAATGGCGGGAAACGATAACGTGCGGATGCATGTTAATATTTTAAATCTGAAATGTAACCTCCCGGACAAAAATAACAAATTTTTCGGACTGAAGTGATTACTGATTAAAAAACAAAAATTTTTTTAAAAATTCGGTAAAAATTCCTCGACAGCTTTTTAAAATTTGTTCAGTTCGACACCTTTTAAAAGTTCGTACATACAGTAACGTACTGACCAAGTATGTTTAGTAAAGCACTAGTGGTTGCAAGAAGCATTGCCATTATATTATTGGCTGCGCGGCGCGGCCCAGTAGTGCATCGCGCTACAACAAACATCGTCAAATAGATTACTCGAAGCTCAAAAGTATTTATCCAAAATAATTCCGATCCCGAGGATTGTTACTGGGCCGCGCTCAGCCTGTCATTCCGCCAAATCTTAATGTTTATGAACATGTACATAATAGCCTGGGTCCCTTGTCCGCGCACGAAGTGCGCGGCTCCCCCTGTATCGTCGTATAGTGAAACGACCGTGGGGGTCGCAACGTGATACAATGGGTCCCCAGGTAAGAGGATTGACATAACTTATAAATTTATAATATATTAATTCTAAATACTGAATGCATCGCATTTTAAGGGTTTTGGTATTTTCGTAGCTAAATTGCACTAAAGCTTTCGCGCTTGCACTTCACACTTGCGCGTAGTTCGTAAACTGAAAACTCGTGGGTACGATATATGTGATTACTGAACAATAAATTCGGCTCGACTCTCATTACATTCTTTTAATAACTTGCTGTGCGAGATTTCAATACTATTAATTTGCAAATGCTAATTCAACATTTAGATCTTTACAATTACATCATCTTCTTTCACATAGCCATGTGTCTAAGCGCACTACTAGCGAGAGGGCTATGGTTAGAGCATAAACAGGTTATACTGGACGAATCTCACTCGTTAACGGGTGATACTCGTAATTTACTATCACGCGCCGCTTTTTCTCAAAATATTAGTCTAAGCCTATACCAGCCGGCAAAGTTTTTAAATGTAACCTTCATACCATGTTAAAATTTAGTTGAGTTTTGAACGTTGCTTATAGTTGATAAGGTAACCTTGATCTAACGTAAAATAATAAACGTTTTGCAACGTTAAAAATAAAACCTATAACCAACGTTAGATATTTAACGTTTAACAACGTTTTATATGTAACCTACATACACCTTTAAAATGTAGTTGAATTTTAAACTCTGCTTATAGTTAATAAGGTAACCTTGATCTGACGTCAAATAATAAACGTTTTGCAACGTTAAAAATAAAACTTATAACCAACGTTAGATATTTAACGTTTAACAACTATAGCCATAGCTATAGCTGTCGTCGCGATATCTAGCGCTAGATAGCGCTATCTAGCGCTATCTAGCGTTAACTGTCACAAACCGATATTCTCCGCTAGATAGCGCTATCTAGCGCTAACAAGCGTTATCTAGCGGAGAATGTCGGTTTGTGACAGTTTACGCTAGATAGCGCTATCTAGCGCTAGCTGTCGCCGCGATATCTAGCGCTAGATAGCGCTATCTAGCGCTATCTAGCGTAAACTGTCACAAACCGACATTCTCCGCTAGATAGCGCCAGATAGCGCTAGATAGCGCTAGATAGCGCTGCATCAGATGTCGTTGCGACATATAGCGTTAGATAGCGCTAGATACCGCTAGATGTCGCAAAAAAAAGGGCGGAAATTTTATGAAAATAGCGCTATCTGTCGCCTGGCGTCAGTGCTGCGTGCTTAGCGTCATCTAGCGTCATCTAGCGTCATATAGCGTCATATAGCGTCATGTAGTGTCATATAGCGCTAGATAGCGCTAGATAGCGCTAGATAGCGCTAGATAGCGACATTCGAAAGGTGCCGTGCACTTAGCGACAATGTCGCTAATTGGCGTCATCTAGCGTCATCTAGCGTCATCTAGCGTCATCTAGCGTCATCTATCATCATCTGGCGATATTTCACGCTAGATGACGCTAGATGACGCTAGATGACGTCATATGTCGAATTTCAACTATCAGTAAAGGTCCATTTTTTCTTATCAGTCATTATCATGTCACCCATCACAACAT